GATCGCCAGTGCGCTGTGTCCCTCGGACACAGCAGATCACGGAAAGAGCCGAAGATGTCGGCTCGGTCATGTGATCAGCTGTGTCCAATCACAGCTGATCACATGTAAACAGGGAAATGCCGGTTATCGGCATTTCTCTCCTCTCGAGCTCTCACGCTGACAGCTCGAGAGGGGAGGAGAGCCAGTAATCGGCTTTCCGCGGAGGGGACATGTACACTGATCATCAGGGCACTGATGATCAGTGTGCCCTGATGATCAGTGTGGCCCCAGAAGTGCCACCTGTCAGTGCTCATCAATGCCACGTGCCAGTGCCCATCAGTGCCACGAGCCAGTGCCCATCAGTGCCACATCAATGCCATATCAGTGCATACCAGTGCACATCAATGCCACATATCAATGCCCATCTGAGCTGCCTTTCAATGTCGCCCATCAGTGCCAGTCAGTGCCACCTATCAATGCCAGTCAGTGCCACCTATCAATGCCAATCAGTGCCACCTATCAATGCCAATCAGTGCCATATATCAGTGCCAATCAGTGCCGCCTAACAGTGCCAGTCAGTGCCGCCTATCAGTGCCATATATCAGTGTCATGTATCAGTGTCATGTATCAGTGCTGCCTTTCAGTGCCCAGTGATGCCTGTCAATGCCCATCAGTGCAAACTACCAGTGCCTCATCAGTGCCCATCAGTGCCACCTATCAGTGTACATCAGTGCAGCCTATCAGTGCCCATCACTGCAGCCTCATTAGCGCACATCAGTGAAGGAGAAAAATCACTTATTTACAAAATTGTATAACAAAAACTAAGAAAACTTTTTTTTTCAAAATTTTCAGTGGTTTTTGGTTTGTTTAAGAAAAAATAAAAATCCCAGAAGTGATTAAATACCACCAAAAGAAAGCTCTATCTGTCTCAAAAAAAATGATAAAAATGTCAGATGGGTACAGTGTTGCATGACCGCGCAATTGTCATTCAAATTGTGACAGTGCTGAAAGCTGGAAATTGGCCTGGGCAGGAAGGGGGTATAAGTGCCCTGTAGGCTAGTGGTTAAAAGGAAGAGCTAAAGGAGGAAGGGGAGGAGGGAGTACAAGGCATTGGGGTTGAAGGAGGGGAATTAGTAAGTCTCACCAACCATTTCCTCCATGTAGAACCCTAGTTCTGGTGACCTGGAGGGCCTCAAGGGGTTTCCTTAATTTTCAGGGATTCCTTCTCACTTCCTTTTTTTATCTGAGGGATAGGGAGTAAAGGTAAATTCCCAGAGAGATGGTAAATAAAGAAAAATGTACAGAGGTTATAACCTTCCCCTACTCTATTCAAAATGAGAAAAAAGTTGTGCCTATAGTTTTACCTTAAGAAAATTAAGTGTGTCCCTGCTAATGCCCATTTTTTTTACAATAGTTTAACTATTAGATTTAAACATGGTCAGAAACTAGTATAAAGATTAGTTTTCAATGGGGGTTTGCGGCTTGATTCTGGCTTTGCAGATTTCAAGCAGGATTTGGTGACTTCCCCACAAATTGAAACCAGACAGATTAGCTCATCGCTAGTAATGAGCAGTGCCAACTTCAGAACTTGCTGCATAATCTGTTACCTCTCAGATCCTTCTTAGATCTTACCTCATCTCAGTGAAGCAGTTGAAGGAGTTAACACAGAAAATGTAAATGTTATTTCCAGGAAAATAAAAAGGTGGACTTTTAATCCATTGTGTATTCATCAATACATCATTTAATATATTTGTCCTGCCTTCTCTGCAGTTATGAAAGGGTTACAGAGGATTACAGGCAGTATAACCTTTGATGTCCACACAGTAAAGAGTCGATGATTGATAACCGATGATCTTTTACTGATAACATGTGATCATAATGAGAATGAATGCGCGTGAATAAATGTGGTAAAACTGAAATACAAACAGAATAAACAAACATAAGTACATATCTAACTTCCTAGCTATGTGCATAACATTCCACAGTACATAGGAGGGGTACTTACAGACTTTGGGGGTCTAATCAAGCCCATATATGAAGAGAGAACAGCATCCCACATGTACTTGCATTGTAGAATTTCTTCAGTCTGAAGAGATGAGGTCACTTCCTCCCAAGTTAGCAGACAGGAAGTCCTGGCCTTAAAGGGACAGACACTGCTGAATGCTAAAGAATGCCTTGTGTAATACAAGGCAGCACACTCCCCACCTGGCATAATAATGATATGCCACTATTAAACTCTTGGAAAGAGTAAAACGACTTCCGTGATGGGTCTAAGGTACACCTTAGGGGTGCCCTGTTTTTACTACTCTGACCTCTACTTTCCTGACTCTGCTATCACTACTAGCATCAGTCCCCACAATGAGTCCAATTGGCCACTCGTTCCTGTGGGCCTGAGAGTCTTTTAGTAGAACAACATCTCCAACTTGTAAGTTGGGCTTGTCGGCTTGTCATTTGTTGCGTGGTTGGAGGGTCGTCAGGTACTCCTGTCTCCATCTCTTCCAGAAGATATTGGCAAGGCTTTGAACTTGTTTCCATTGCTTGGTGTACAAGTCTTTAAGATCAAAGTCCCCATTGGGAGCTGTCACCATCTCCATCTTCTGGGTCAGCAACGTTGCTGGTGTCAAGACGGTTGGCATCTCTGGGTCAGTAGACACTGGGACCAAAGGTCTGGCGTTCATGATAGCCATGACTTCAGCCATCAGCGTGGTTAAGACTTCGTGTGTGAGACGAGTAGATCCAATCTTTAGAAGCATTGCATCTAGAATGCGGCGAGCTACTCCAATCATCCTCTCCCAAGCTCCTCCCATATGCGAGGCATGAGGAGGGTTGAAGATCCAAGTGCATCTTTGATTTTGAAGATAGTTACTTGTCTCTGAGTCTGTTGCAATGATCTTCAATTCCTTGCAGGCTCCAATAAAGTTTGTGCCACAATCAGAACGAATCTGTTTTGCTGGTCCTCGAATGGAGAAAAATCTTCTCAAGGCATTGATGAAGCTTGAGGTAGATAGAGACTCAATTACCTCAATGTGAACTGCTCTGGTACTCATACACGAGAAAAGAACAGCCCAGCGTTTGCTCTCTGCACTGCCTCCTCTGGTCTTGCGAGAAGAAATGTTCCAAGGACCAAAAACGTCTAGGCCTACATTTGTGAATGGAGGATCTGAAGCCAGCCTGTCTGGAGGTAAGTCTGACATCTTCTGGACTTCAAGTTTTCCTCTGATTTTCTTGCAAGTTACACATTTGTTAATCACACTGGAGACTAGTCTTTTACCTCCTAGGATCCACAATCCAGTTGAGCGGACTGCTCCTTCAGTGAGGTGGCGACCTTGATGTGCAACTTGCTCGTGGGTGGTGTCTTGTCAGAAGAAAGGGCAACATGATGATTCTTGGGTATGACAATGGGATGTTTTTATAGAATAGTCGTATCAGCTGCGGTTAGACGACCTCCAAGTCTCATCACTCCATCTTCATCAAGGACAGGGTTCAACTTTTTGAGCGGGCTGTGTTTAGAAAGTTCTTCTTTCTTGAGAAGACCTTGAATTTCTTCCTTGAAGGCTTCCTGCTGAACACATCTGATAATGGTGACATTGGCTCGCTCAAGATAGTCATTGTTACCCTGGTCAACACTGGCTGTTTTGCTGAAGGATCTGGCCAAGCAGATGAGTTTCCCTATGGCACGGATGAGTGACTTCCAGCTGGAAAACCTTTTGAACCTACATGAGCCAAGACCTTCTCTGGTGGTTAGAGCCTTGTAAACTGCAACTAGAGGTCTTACCTCTTTGTCTTGGTCTGGTTCTACAAGCTGAAAAGTTCCTTTCTGATCAGTCTCTTCAGTTTCTGGTCCAGTCAAGAAGGATGGACCTGTGAACCAGTTAGTCTGTTTGAGGACAGCAGCTGGTACCAGTCTAGTCCCATGATCAGCAGGGTTCTTGTCTGTACTGATGTGATGCCACTGTTCTGGACTTGTACACCTTCTGATACGTGTTACCCTGTTTGACACGTATGTGTAGAATCTTCTTGAAGCTTTATAGATATAACCTAAAACAATCTTGCTGTCTGTGTAGAAGTTCACTGCATGGATCTCGATGTCCAGTTCTGCAATGAGTAAGTCTGCTATCTCCACAGCTAGGACAGCAGCACAAAGTTCTAAGCGTGGGACCGTGTGAGCAGGTCTTGGAGCCAGTTTAGACTTTCCCAGGATGAATCCTGCATGGCTTTGTCCCTGAGTGTCTATGACTCTAAGGTAGGCTACAGCTGCTATAGCCACGGTGGATGCATCTGAAAAACACATGTATCTCTCTTCGTTTTGTAACAGACAAAGAAACAGAGACGTATGGTCTTTGGATGCTAAATCGGTCAAGCTCCAGCAAAGAGTCTTTCCACAACTTCCACTGCATTTCTTTCTTTTCAGGTAGAGGTGTGTCCCAATCACTTTGTTCTAGCTCAGTTGTAATCTCTCTCAAAAGAGCTTTGCCTTGCATGGTGATGGGTGCTACGAACCCCAAGGGATCGTAAAGACTGTTGACCGTAGACAAGACACCTCGCTTTGTGAAAGGCTTCTCTTCCCTGGATACTCGGATGGTGAAGCTGTCAGTTTTCAAGTCCCAACTAAGCCCTAAGGTTCTTTGAAGGGGTGGTGAATCTGTACCTAGATCTAGGTCTTTGAGGTCTTTTGCACGGTCTTCTGCTGGGAATGCTTCCATTACTTTGCTGTTGTTGGAAGCCACTTTGTGCAGTCTTATGTTAGAGTCTGCTAGCAAGTCTCTAGTGCTTTTCAAAATGTCAATGGCTTCTCCACTACTGGAGAAGGAAGCAAGTCCATCATCTACATAAAAGTTTTTCATAACAAATTGTTTGGCTTCAGGGTTGTGTCTGTCACCTTGCTGCGCTGCTCGTCTCAAGCTGTAGATAGCGACAGCTGGTGAGGGACTGTTCCCAAACACATGCACTTTCATCCTATACTCTATAATACCTTTGTTGAGGGTCGTTGTCTTCATACCATAGGAACCTCAGGTAGTCTCTGTGGTCTTCACGGACAAGGAAGCAGTAGTAGAACATCTGCTCTACATCTGCTGTTACTGCAACAAGTTCTCTTCGGAATCTGATAAGGACTCCAAGAAGTGTGTTGTTCAGGTCTGGTCCGCTGAGAAGTACATCATTAAGGGAAATACCTTCATGCTTTGCACTGGAATCAAAATACTACAGTATCTGACCTGGTTTTTGAGGATGGTACACTCTCCGAATATTGGCAAGTACCAGCGTTCTTGTTTTTCATGCAGTGCTGGTGCTTTTTCAGCTTGATCTTTGTCAAAGTTTTTCCGCATGAATTCTTGGAAGTGTTCTTTCATGTCTGGCTTTCTTTCAAGAGTGCGCTGCAATAGCGCAAGGCGTTTCTCTGCTTGCACTCTGTTGTTGGAAGACGATGCCGTGGTGTACGGAATGGTAGTGGGGCTACCCAACTGCCTGCTTTGTCTTTGAAGACTTCTCTGTCCATGATCTCAAGGAAGAGGTTATCTTCAACAGATGGTGCTAG